TTCTCTGGTACCAATTATGAAAACCATTTATAGCAAAGCTTTACTATCTAAAATTGCTCAGGGAGTTACTCTGAAAAGTTGATTCTCCTTAAGTGAATGGCAATACTTTAATGCATCCTCTCCATTTCTTAGACATAGTTTATTTCTAATTGATATCAGCCATGATCCCAGAGCTTATTTTATTTCAAAAAAGTCTCATTAGCTTGTACACTTATAATTTACATTTTACTCATAAACTAATTACATATTCATTATTCTTCAAATTTTGTTTCATAATATCAGTTTACTTTAGTCAGTATACAAAAGACTCAATGATTTTGCTATAATAAATCACTCTTACGCTACATATCATAGTTGAACTTTGTAGTATTTAATTCTACTGTACTGCATGAAGATAGGCATTGTTTGGCAACAGGTCTGTCTAGATCATTAATGTGCCCATGAGTAGGGTTCAAATCATGTTTTGGGGCACACGCACACACATACATACACACACACACACACACACACACACACACACACACAAACAGGAAAAGGAGTTTTGGCATTTAAAGGTTAATCTATTAAATAGACATAGTTATCCACCCCCTGTTGTAGGCGGATCCCACCTTTGTGCTGAACTGATATCCTATGATGCAATGTCACTTCTGTTTGTCGTGAGTCACTTTTCCTTCCCTTTCTTCACATCCTCGTGTGTGTGTGTGTGTGTGTGTGTGTGTGTGTGTGTGTTTCCTTTGTCTTATTCATGGCTTCTTCAGTTAGTCCTTGCAAACATTTTTATTTTTTGGACACTAACAGTCTTAGTTTTCTAAATAATCAGAGAATAGTAACAATCATATGCTTAGTTTTAAATAATTGGCACTTTGCTTCCTATGTTCTACATATTGGGGTTTAGAAGCTCCTCATGCTGTACCATTGTTGGTGACTTTTTGATACTGAGAAATTTTTGATGCCTCAGTACTCCAGAAAGTTAATCTCCATACAGCCAAGATTTTAAGATTTCAATAACTTTTCCTTGTGTATTCTATTTTTCATGTGTCAAATTATAAATTAAAGTTCGAAGGTTGAAAACTGATTTGGTAGCTCAAAAATGATCTATATAAGATTTAGTGCCATTATACAAATTATACTACTACTTAAATTCTCCGCAAATTAATGGATTCTAAAAAGTTCTATTAACTTTTGTTAATAGGTTACATATTTTGTTAATACATAAAGCGTACTGTAATGCCTTTCTTTAAAAATTCAAATTTTTAAATTACAGATAATTATCTAACATAAATTTTGACATGCCTTGTGTAGTTTTTCTAACTCATTCAACATACATAGTTGTATCAATATACATGTAAAATATGAGAAACACATGAGAAATGTGAAAATATAATTTTAGAATTCACATCCTATAAATATGAATATAAAACATAATTTTAATTGAAATTAATGCTAAAAGAAAAGCAACTTATCTAAATAGAGATTGTTTTAAATTTCAATAACATTGCTTAAACTGAAGATTATACACTGTAATAAACTAAGTAGTAAAAATAAATTTGTTCTTTTCTTTTTATACCAGAGCAAAAGTTCCAAATTATAAATTGTACATCTAAAATGATTTAATATACACAACACATTCAAAACTCAAGTCACATCCATTACTGATACAGAACACTCTGATAACTGAATTAATGCAATTTTATGACAAAGAAATAGTACTTAGCTTCTGATCGCTATTGTAATCCACTCAGATAATTCAATAGAAACTCACCACAAAGTCAGATCTTATTATATTCCCTTCACTGATCTAACAAATACCTACTTTTTTATGATGTATAATACATTGAAAGGGATACAAAATAAGGCAAGAGCTTTGCCCTCAAGGGGCTTACAGTCTAACATGGAAAAAATTAACAAACACATGAATGACGATAACATAAGCTAGAAAGTGATGTGTCATAAGAAAAGCTCACTTAATATGCTATGGGTGTTATTAATGTAACAGTGTTTTTTTGTTTATTTGTTTTTATTGTTATTTTTTGATATTTAGAATAGAATCCAGTGCCTTCACACTGAGCAACATCACCAGATTTTTTTTATGTTTTATTTTGGTACCAGGTTTCCCTAAATCCCTGAGTCGCCCCGCTTTTAAGCTTACACCTGCAACGCTCCTGCTCAAGCCTCTCAGAGTGCTAGGACCACATGTACAAGCCAACTGGCCCATTCACTATTTTAAAAGATAATAAGCAGCCAACAAAAATAGACCAAAGGTTGATTTTGAAGATTAAGTGACAAATTTTGTGAATTTACGGATGAAATAAGCTTCAATAGTAATGTAATTTTAAGTCACTACCAATCAGTTCTTTAAAGTGTTTTAGTAAATGATACTAACCTATTAGAGATAAAATTTTTGTCATTGTTCCTAAGGGATGCAAATGTAATGGGGCTGAAATGATCATTTACATGTAGCTAAATTAGATACATTGTCTAAAATACTCATGACACATCACTTCCTTGCACAGAAATTGGCTCAGTCAGATTATGGTGGTGAAGAAATCCTCGGTGGCTCAAGTGTGCTCCAAGGAAAGCTAGAAGGTTGTACAGTTAACTCCCAGGGTGTAACTCTAAACCATACAACCTACTACCTCAACCTGGATGCACACAGCTTCCAATGTTGCTTCAAACTCCTTATCATATCTTCAGTCAGCTCCTCCAAATATGGCAGCCATACTCCTACAGGCTTGGCAAGAATGTTGATATAATATCCAATATTATAAGTGCATTTTACCAATACACTTAAAATACGTCTCATCGGACTTTTAGAGTTTGTAGCATGGGTCACAAAAAAAGCTTTCTGACATCTTTCCTGATATAGGTCAACTAGCATTTAATAATATTAAAAACCAATTGAATTCAACTTCATTTTCCAGGCAATATAGATTCCATTGTAACATATAAAAATCAGTAACCTTTTATTTTCTTATCAAAGTTGATGAACTACACTAACCCATGAAGTACGTATTGAAGTTTCTGAACTAGGTATATTCAGGTCTTGGTTCAAATATTCTCATAAAATATTTCAACTTTCCAAAGTTTACTGTCCTTGAAATCAAGCCTGAATGGCTTTGCTATAAACATTTCCAAGTGGTCAAATATTAAAGCCTGCCTTGTAGAATAGATGACGATTAATAAATTCGTAGAAAACAAAGGAAAGCACAATTACTTAAGAAACTATATAGTAATCTGGAGCTTAAAAGGTTTTGCTGAAATGGTTTTAATAAACATTGTGTATAGTGTTTTGTCAGATTACCACATTGACACAGACCCATAGAAGCGAGCTTGTGCCGTCCACTTTACCACAAGATCGGATCTACGGGTTTATGCCAACAGGCAACATCTTTCATAGGCTGCCTACTAGTGTAAAATTTGTTGTATATATCTAATGCAATTTAGGAGCAAAAAAAATAACAATATTAATCTTTGAGTATAAATATTTTAGTATAAATGTTTTAAATGCTGAATCCTGAGGTTCTATATACCCTGTTAAAGGCCTTTATAAATATGCTAAACTAAATACAGTTTCATATATATATGAGGATTAAAAAATACTTCATTGAAAATTTTTCAGACTGGTTTTTCAAAAATAATGAATACTTTGGAATTCAACTATTATAATCAACAAGGAGGTTTTAAAAGAAAAAAGAATCCATATACACATATATAAATTATGTAATTGTAAAGCATGATCTATATTGAATCTACAATTAAATTATTAAGCTAATTGTATTTAGTTTAAACTGTTTGCTTTGATTCTTTTATAGCTTTGGTAACCAGTTTTTAAAAAGTGGTAACATTTCTTTTTTGTAGAACAGATAAGATTTTGTCAAGTAGAGAACATAGACTATAAATCTGAAATACAATCACATATGTCTCTAGTCAGAATAAAAGTAACTAAAATTTACAATGTTTGGATGAATTAATACGCAAAAACCAAAATCGATGACACATTAATAGCATCATTATTGATATTTTGCGCTAACATTTATATTTCAGCTGTATTACATCAGAGAGGGTATTTTATCTCAGGAACAAAATATATTTAAATTTATTTTTAAAATATATCTTTAAAACAAAATATGTGCCTGCATGTAAGTCTCATCTGGTCAACAGGTTGGTTAAAAATAAATTCTTTTCTTTTTTAAATTTTAAACCACCACACAACAAGCAAACACACAAATGAGTAAACATAAAGCCAAGCACATAGACAGTTTTAAGATCCTAAACTCAACTGCAACAAATTATAAGTTATACAATCTTTTCTCTCATATCTATAATCATTTAGCTTTTCTTAATTATATCTCCATTGTGAATAATAATAATATGACATAGTAATTATGATTTTGTATGCTTTGGAATAAAATAAAATAAAATAAAATGTTTTATAAGACTTTATCCAGATAATTTGGTCTACACAATATCACCATTATATACTTTCCAAATTTTTCATACTTATTAAAAACTTAAATAATCAACAGCAATATAGTAAAAAAAATCAGTATATTTTTATGAATTTCTATGTGCAAAAAGGATAACACTGGTTTAGAATTTTATCATTATACAAATGTATGTTTTGGCTTTATTATCAGATAAGAACATGTAAAAAAAATAAAATAACACAACTTTATTTCCTTGCCCCATTTTTTACTTCCTTTTATATGGTATAGCAAATGGAAAACAGAATTTCTTTTTCATAAATAGCTATCTATTCAACCATATTTTACTTATATTTCATTAATGTATATACATTTATGTATTCAAAGTGATGAAAATTGGATACTAATCTTAAATTCAGGCAAATTTTTTTCACAAAGATAGCATATAAAATCTCAAATGAAAACCATCACCTAGATTCATAAACAAATGAAAAGAATTCCTTTATCATTAAACAGTGAAAAATGCTTTTCTTTACAAATGTACATAGTAATTGCTCTTTTGCTCTTTATTTTTACCTGAGATGATTTTCTCTTATGATCACTTTCTTCACTTTTCATATCCATTTTAAGTTTTTCCCTAAAACAACCACAAAAGGAGAAATATCAGACAACTGCTATCTAGGAGGAGGATCTGAATGGATGGTGGGAATGAGGTAGGCGACCAAAAAGGAAATACAATATCAAAATGGGAAAAATCTTTTAAAGTATTAAAAAAAATAGGCTTGGAAGACTCATAGGACCCCACCCAAGCCTACTCATATGACATATACTGTGGTTTCATGGTTTACATTTATCCGTTCTTCTTGGTTGGTGTTGTTTTAGCAGGAACAGTTTTGAAAGTGAAAGGAGGGGGGTTCTTTAAAAAGCGACTAGATTTAGCACAATGAAGTAGTGAAAGCTGAAGAGAATTTGAATTTGGCATGGAGTTTAATAAGATAATTAAGACTGCAGAGATTAATGACTGCTAAAAATAACATTTAAAATCATGCCTTTTACCTAAAGTATCTTGAAACAGGCAAACAGTTTTATCAAAATTAATCAAGTCTTTCAAATTTGGCTCTCCATTAGCTGAGGCACAGGAAAGAACAAGAGCTATTTTGTAAATAATTAGCTAACAGTAAGCAATAAAGTGGAAAATATTTTATTTAAATGTTCTCATTATATAGGGATTTTATAATTTCTCATAAATTTTTCATAGAACGAAATAGAAGACAAAATTCAACATTTCTATACTTCTCTTTGTTTATCCTACATACTTTTAATATAAACAGTATGATTTTAAGCATATAACAATTTAAATAAAATGTATTATTTTACATAAAATATAGCATCAATCGATTACATGAAAATATAGACTGTACAGATATCTGCTGTATTTTCAAAAAACATTTTCACATTTTGAACAGTTCTATACATGTTTAGAAGCATTTTTATCAAAACTAAAATAAGTGGAATGCATCTGCTAATCCTTTCACATGGAACTAGGTAAAACTGCATTTTTTAGATAAAATGCTTAAATTCCTTAACAATTTAATTCTACAAATAATTAGAACGCAGTGCAGTTATGTGCTGAGCCAATACATTGCTGTGAAGTTAAATCAAGTTTGTTTGTACTTTTTCTACAAAATACTTAATGGATATTTCCAACCTCTTTGCAACTGCTCTTGGACAAATACTTCTTTTTAAATGTATTTTAAAAGAGAGCATTATTCAGGAGCAAGCTTCTTTTCTACTTAGCAACTGAGAACATGATCTTTTCATATCTGTTTCTGTAATACTCAAATCCTGGTAAATAATTTAAGTATAACTTCTCTCAAACTAATTTTATTTATCACTAGGTTAATGTACATTCTAGTGTGATCCTTTTTCAGAAGTTCAAAAAGTTTCCTCTTTCACATTCCTAATTGTGAAACACATGAAAGATTTTGCTCTCTTTAACCACCAGGTCTAAACACTCACGTTTCTTAGCAAAACTAACGCTGGACACAAAAAGCACGGATGACACATTAGTGTCTTTCTGAATTTCTGTGTATCACAAAAATTTAAAAAGCATTTACATAGAGATTTTTTCTATTTTTACTTTAGGGTTAGAGTAAGAAAGTTAAAAGGAAAAAGTTTAGAGTAAAGTGGGGGACGAGTTAAATAAGAGTAAATTGAAAGTTCAAGGATCCTCTTTTATATAACAGTAGGCTTAAGAAGAAACAACAAAAAGTTATACCTGATATGAAAGGTGCGCTTTCACCACCTGCAATGTATTGCTAATCATGCCATAGTTTTTGAAATAGTAAAAATAAAGAAGGCCCATTTGGTTATGTTGCCTTAAGAAGCTGCTTTAGAAAGCCCGATGTCTCTGCAGTTATATAAGCCAATGTTTGCTTTTTTTTTTTTTTTTTTTTTTTTTTTTTGGTTTGTTTTGGATTGGATTTTTGTTTGTTTTTGTTTTTGATTTTGAGCAGGAGCATCTCTCTCTTTTTTCAGAACTCTTGAACGTAGTAAGACAAACTCAGACTTTTTTTTTTCTTCAGGGCTCCTGTTATTTCTTAGAAAAGAAGAACCAGCATGCTTGTCTTCTTTTTCTTCCTTCTCGGTATTCCAGGCACAAAGCACTGCGCAGAAACTGCACCAATCCTTGCCGTCACTGGCAGCAGAATGGTAGAAGGTGGGAGAGACCAGGAATCCTTCCAGGCTGTGCTGACTTTAGAAATGAGGATTGCACACGTTTGTCTCCCGAACCAAAGTGGCGAAAAGGCAGGATGCCAGTTTGCTACAGGGCTGTAATGATCTCATGCTCTCTGCTGCTGCTGTCCTGTTTGCCCAGTTCAAATGCCTGTTCATTATAAACCAAAAAATAAATAAATAAATAACCCAACTACTTGGATTCTTCAGCAAGCAAAAAAGCATATTAACAATTAAAAAGTCCGTAAAGGCAAAAAAAACCCAAAATATAAAATTTTAAAATGCATTTGTTATGCCTCAATATTGTTATTATTTCTCTCTCTCTCTCTCTCTCTCTCTCTCTCTCTCTCTCTCTCTCACTCTCTGGACATAAGCAGCAGAATTTATCAGGCGTGAAAGGGACAGCCTCCTGGTGGCCTGCCAAAAACCCAGAATAAAGGCGAAGTTGTGCTTCAAAGCTCAGTTGCTTGCTGAGTCTGGCTAAAGTCAAGTATTAAGATCCACCATTTTCTGAGCCATGCTCGAAAAAAAGAAAAAAGTCAGGACCGTTGCTGCTTTCCAAGTCTCCGTTGGCACCATCACAAAATCTCAGTCGTAAGGTCACATGATTCTCTGCCAAATGTAGAGTGCATTCCCATCAACCATTCTGCTGATACTGCGAAGGCAGCTATTGTCTCGTTTAGACCCAAAGTTCAGCCCACTGTTCATTGAATTAGCTGAAAAACGCATCACCTTTGGGGGCTGGGAGTCATGGAAACGTCTACCTGGCAAGCTGCCCACTTTTTCTGCCCATCAACCAGAGATGGAATTGTGCTGCCTAATGCAATGATGACTTGGAATGTGAAGAGTCGTCCAAAGTGAATCTGATTCTTGCAACGCCTGTTTCGTTTGCACAGAAAAACTCTGGCTTCTTGTAGTTAACAGGGGGAAAAATCTTTTCTACCAAAAGTAGCAAATAAAGGTTTTAACATGCCTACTCTGCAACTTTATTCCTCAACACATCCAAATGGCTTTCAAATGAAAAGACTGAATGCCCCGCAAGTTTCCTTCATTAAAGACATATCGCTTCTTCTGTCTCCTTTTCTTTACAAGTGTACGCAACGAGCCCGGGACATTTGTTTTAATTTTTCACTTTAAGGCTTGAAACTAATTTGTGAGTTTTCTTTTGGCTTTTTATTACTTTGTGATTTTTATCTGGCACCAATTTTGTCCTACTCAGTCACAATATCCAGTAGGAACAACGGGGATGCATTATTGCTGAAATTGCCAACAAAGTGGTCCCAAGAGAGCTTAGTTGTGTCTTCTACCACACAAAACCCTGTAACTGGGTCCTGTGGTTATCCTCATCAGTACCTAGTACAGCTGCTATGCAAGTTTGCTGAGACTGACACATGTTTCTGTGCCTTCACTTGCTATAGTGTGCCTGTGTGGCATGAAAGATGCTTTTGAAATATGCAAGGAGAATTATCAATAGCTCTTAGGTCATAAAATGAAATGGCTCTCCCCTCCCCAATGAATTTCCATTCTAGCATGCAATGAAAGTTCCCATGTACAAATATTTCCATACTTTCTAACAAAAGTTGAGTGAACTAAATCTTTCACAATTTTCTTAAGCAGGATCTAAAGCCAAGTAGGAAGGCAAGCATTGGGAGTATTTATGCCAAACACTCTGAGTAGCGCTAAAAAGAACCATGTCCTCTACTGCATTAACATTTTTTGCAACAATTGGAAAATCCTTATTTAAAGTGTAATTATGCTTATAAGAAATTTAAAAAAATATATATTCAGTTCCTTACCCAGATGGATTTTTATCTATCCCCACATATGGCATGCACAAAGGAAAATACATGACAAAGGTTTAAAAAGATAATCAAACTATGACTTACTTAATAAAATAAAATTATTAAAAAATTTAAGAATCTGTGAAACATTCTAAAACTGCCTTGTGGTCCTTCTATGTGCTGTATCTTCCAGCTCACTTTATTTTGGAGCAATAGCAGTGAACACACATGCACATACATATATCTGGACCATTATGGTTCTTCCCATTTATAATTCAAAATATATTCAGTTCCAAACCACAAAACATGACCTTGCACATACATTAAAATTTAAGTTGCATTTCTCTATGTTAAAAAATTCTGGAAAAAATATTGCTAGTCTCTAAATCATATAAAGAATATAAGACAAAAAATCAAATATGGCAGGTACACAGGTCCCATGTTTATGGAAAATTTAAACTCTAAGTACTAATTACTTTGTCCATTAGATGTTAAGAATTGGTGTGTGATGAGTCACGATAAGTACAGAGTAACAGCAGTGAACCAAGTGGATAAGGCACCCATGTAGGAATTACTCAATACATAATTTCAAGTGAAGCTCAACACAGGTCTCAAGAAAGTATTTACTGGAGAACAAATTAATCAATAAACTGGTAGAAATTGGTAAGTAGAAAGAAAATGGACCTCAAAATATAAATTACAAATGGAGATGTTTTCACTTCCAGAATTTTTCTTTTTTTCAAATAAAGCTCATTAACAAGTTTTGCATGCCTTTCTTTAACTTCCTTCAAAAAATTAATACAAAAATTTTGGGCATCCCTCTCAAATTAAGGAAAAAATGATTTAAAAGAAAAAGGAAATTTTGCTTTCCGGCACATATAATAGACATGGTTTTTCTTAGTTCTCACGATAGGTACAAGAACTTTCTAGACATTATATATAAAAGAAATATAAAGGGACTAAAAGATGAGGAGATGATGATGAAAAACAGCCGAAGAGTGCAGAAATTGAGGAATGGCATGGTGGTGACTTCCTTCAGTTTTATTTGTGCCATATGTATCTAATATTTTGAGCTTGAATCCAGAAATATCAACAGAGAGAAAGAGAAATGCAGAGAAAGAGACCTGTTTCTTTAACAAAAGGACCAAGAAAGGAGTTGTCTATGAAGTATTCTACAAAGACTGAAAGTACTGAGAGACAAAAACTCTTCCTGTAATCAAACATCACAGAAAAACTGCAGACCCATGCCAACCCACACCTGCAAATACCAGGTTGGTAAATCTAAATGTTGACCCTTGTAAAGCTTTTGCCCTAAAGAACGGTGTCAGTCTCAGAATCTGGGAAACTCTTTCTTCTGGCAGGGGTTGGAGGCCAGTGTTAGGTAACAAGTTTCTTCTTTTCCATGCAATCTAGATGGACACTACACCAGGAGCCTGGGATTCCATGCCAATTCAGTAATAATGAGGCACCCTTCACTGCTGCACCCAGACCTTCACTTAGGTGGTATCAGAGGATGCTTGGTAGAGAAATGCAATGTTAGATGCTGCCCAGAAGGAACAAGACAATTCCATATTTCTGTACCCTTGAGGTCTGGGAGACTACTATAGAAACAGTAATAAACCACTTCTATCCAGGGAGTGACAAATCAATGCTCTTTAAGGAGACAGCAGTAGAAAACTATTCAGGAGTAGAAACTGTCACCCTCATCTAGAAGAAAGGAGGAGCTCTTCCATGTCAGTGGCAGTGGCAGCTCAGCAGGAAGACCTATGCTTTTACCTACAGTGGGTGGCGAGAAGTTGGTACATCTCCCTACCTGTGTTGGACTGGTGTAAAGGGAATCCAGGTTAAACAATATTTAAGAATTAGTTTCATACCTAGTAACCAAACAGTCAGGTTCCATTGAAAATCACTTGTCATACAAAGAAATAGAAAGATCTTAAACAGATCTTTTTAAAAACACCAGTAATGTAAACAATAATATATTGTTATATCACGAAGATTCTAAAGCATTAATCAGATCATGAAAATACTTTAATAAGCAATTGAGAACACTGTTGAGACACAAACATTACCAAAGATAGAATAACTTGATATAAATTTTATAATACAATACAATAAATAAAACTATAAAAAGCCAATAGATATAGTCACAGATGAGTAAAATACCAATAGGAATCAGTTAATTAGAAGATAGAATAATAGGAATGACTCAATCTAATAAGAGATAAAATATACTGTAAAAACAAGCAAGAAAAACAAAGGTAATCAGACTTTGCCAACTGTGGAACTATAATAAAAGATCAAACACTGTCATTAGAATTCCAGAAAGACAAGAGAAAGCGAGCAAGGTTTCAAAATACTCAAAACATAATTGCTGCAAACGTACCAAATTTAGCAAATAGTAAACAGTTTCAAGAAGCTATGCACACCACAAATCCAAACCCAAAGAAATCCATACTAAAACATCATAAACAAAATTATTAAAACTAAAAACAAAGAAATATTGAAAGGAAGAAGAGGAAAATATAACTAATCTATAGTAGAAAGACAATTAGCATAGTGGGTATCTCAACAAAATCATAAAGGTCAAAAGGAAGGGGCACAAATGTATCCTTTTTTTGTTTGTCTGTTTTGAGATAGGATCTCACTATGCACTCCAGGTTGACCTTAAGCTCACTTTGTAGCTCTGGGTGGCTCTGAACCCACATCAATTCTTCCTGCCTCAGCTTCCTGCATAGAAATTACAGGCATGTGCTGCCACACGTGACTAATGTTTCCAATTTCTGAAAGAAATAATTGTCAACCCAGAACCCTAAATTGACAGAAAATATCCTTTAGAAATGAATGGAAATGAAGATATTACATGATAAGGAAACCTAACAAAATTTGTGGCCAGCAGGTGTATTTTTTTATGAATGTCTAAGGAAATTATCTAAACAAAAAGGAGATAACAAAAAAGGGGAATTGTAACTTTACAAAGTAAAAAATAATTCAACAAGCACAAATATGAGTAAATATGATAGACTTTCCCTGAAGTTTGGTAAATTATGATTGATGGTATAAATAATGTAGCACAATCTTACATAGCTCTAAAATATGTAAAGTAAATATTATACACGTATTGTACATGGCTCTTGGTTCTGTACTTCACTGGACTGGTAAAGTGAAGACAGCAGTAGACTGTGAACTGTTGTGTATGTAATATTACTATAAAAGCAAACCCTAAGAAAGAAATACACTAAAAATATTAGATACTTAAAAATTCTAAAAATTTCAAAGCTTGTTCATATAACTGGGAAAGATAAGAAAGAAATTAAAAACAGAAAAAACAAACAAAACAAGAATAAAGTGGTTAAATTTAAACCCAAAA